GTGGTTATTTTAAAACAGAAATGTGGGGTACATTGTCATTTATTCACTCAACAAACACTTTTTCAGTACTTTCTTTGTGTTAGGCACCATCTTTGGCAAAGAGATACAGTCTTGAGCAGATAGCGAGTTCATGTCCTTTTGCAGCTCGCAGGGTGTGGCCAGAGAGGCCAGGATAACACTTACCGCTACTCTTCTATGATACTTTATAGTTGGCAAAGCATTTCCACTGTCCACTCAAACCTGACAACAACATCCCTTTGGAGATCATTGTTAGGAAATTCAATTAAAAAAAATAATAAACACCAAACCCGAAACTGAGATTTAGAAGATTATGTCAAAAACTCAACAACTAGTTATCAAGAGACCAAAAACAAGAATGCTGGTGTCTGGATTCAGGTGCAGATACTCCCCAGCAAAGGGCTGGATGAAAAGAAAGTGACTAATTTCTGCATCTCTTTTCTTGGTCTGGGCTCCCCAACACTGAAAGGACAATTTAAGTCAGCCCAACATTGAAAGGACAATTCAACTCAAACACTTTACTTAACTTTGGATTTGATTGCAGCCAAAGATAGTAGCCCCCAATTATTAGGTGATCACTGTGGAGTACATTGTTGAGGGACATTAACTCAAATCCTCATGAACCTGGCTATCCGGTGGGATTTCCTTGTCCCTTGAGCTCTAGTAAACTTGGCTTAAACTTTCCAACTCTAAAAAAACTGTGCAAGTTCAAAGCCCTCCTCTCAATTTCCATGAATTCCTGGAGTTTTAGAGCCTAATCTCTCAGCATCTGGTTTCTGCATTCACACTTGCTGCCTTTTCTTTCTGCCCAAATGGAAAGCCAGCCCCCCTTTGCTTGTTTCCACACCAATCCAGTGAGTTTAATCAAATTTACAGATTTGCAAGTGGGTAGGAAAGGGAGATGTTTGGAGAAATGCAGAAAGAGCCCATCAAATAACACAGCTCCCTCCACCTCTCACTGTTTCTCCTCCCACCCCATTTCTGTCCCACCTGCCCCAAGTTAGAAGCTAAATAAAGTCCTCCTTTTTTATCTAATGCAATTCAGTGTATCAATCATATTATGCACCTCAGCTTGCTCTTGGGGGTCTCGTCTTTTACCCAAAGTGGCTTATCCTTATCCAAGTATTCCTTCCAAGTAAGTGTATTAGTCTCTGTATGAGAAACTAAGGCAAATACAATGTCCTCGATTTCCTGACATTTATAATAACCCTCTGGAGTATATATTACTATTTCCATTTTGTAGATAAAGAACCTGAGGCACAATAAGTCTAAGTCACTTGTCCACATTTTTGCAGTTAAGTCAGAAAGCCCAAACTGGAACTGAGACCTGTCTGACTTTGAAGCCCATGTTTTTTGTAAGACATCATGATCTTGAGATTGTCCCAGGAAAGTGTAGGTAAAGGTTCAATCTCAGAGGAAAGAAAACAGGAAAGGGCCACTTTCTTTCATGTTCAGAAAGGAATTGCCAAGCAGAGAATTATGCTTACGAAAGACATTTCTCTTCGCATATCCTAGTGAGAATAAGGCCTAAAACACCAAAATTGTATTTTGAAATGGTCCAATGCAGATGTGTCTTTAACTTTCAAATCTGACAGAGGAAGATATCTGAATATGTTTAATCCAAGTAGCAGAAGAATACTTAGGCCTTAATATTCTACATTTCCCAAACTAAACTCCATGCTTTAGAAAATTCCTACAGACTGGCCCCAGAGAAAGTGAGAGCGTATCAGTCAAACGATCCAGTGGCTAGCCATAAGGATGTTCATGGATGACTGAACCTTACTTGGGAAATGAACCAGCTGGCCCCAGGACTCCCTTCCTGCTGACACCGTGAATCTAATAGTCTATGAGAATTTACCTGATCCAGCTGACATCTATGAAACACCCTGCATGGCAGTGTACAGCCTGGAAACAAGGCCTATACAAACAGAATGAGCCACTGCATCTGACTTCTGAGTCCTTTCACAAATATTGTAGAAGGAAACCCTGAAAGGGTGTCCCTCGTCATCATCCAATATGTTTTACAAGAAAACATCAACATCAACGTCAACATCATCATCATCATCACCATCATCACTTGTTACCATAAGCCAGGCACTGTGCTAGGCACCGTAGGTAGGAGGGGAAGTAAAAGCACAGTTGTTGCCCTCTCAGAATTCCCAGTCTAGTAGGGAGAGATTTCAGTTTTAAAAATCACAGGTACAGCACTTTGGGAGGCCGAGACGGGCAGATCACGAGGTCAGGAGATCGAGACCATCCTGGCTAACACGGTGAAACCCCATTTCTACTAAAATAAAAAAAAAAAATTAGCCAGGCGTGGTGGCAGGCGCCTGTAGTCCCAGCTACTCGGGAGGCTGAGGCAGGAGAATGGCGTGAACCCGGGAGGCGGAGCTTGCAA